TTTTTTTTTAATATGTTTTTTAAATGATGTTTTAAAAGACGTTTTTTATATTTTTTGTAATTTTTTTAAAAAAAGTTCAACAGTATCTGTTTTTCTATCATCATGATGTAGGATTTTTATATGTGTAACCTGTTCCTTAGATACTGCATCTATTGTATTTTATTTTATTGATGTTAAAAATGAGTGTCAAAAATGAGTATTCTATTTATTTAAGAATAAATGTGCTTTATACTATTTTTTATTCCCCTCCTGTTCGCTATATTTTTCAATATACAATTTCTCTATTTGTGCTATATGCACCTCTTTTTATATTTATATATATTTTTATTTTTTTCATTATAATGATTTTTGGTCTATATTTATATATATACACATTTTTTGGTTTAATAATTTTTTTCTCCCCCTTTTCCCTTCTTCCCTTCCCTATGAAGCAACGTTTATTCAATCAGCCGATAGTCTCAGCAGTGTTATGAATGTTCTTGTTGTAGGACGTTCAGTTGCTACTATGCACATTGAACAATAAAGTTATTTGCGTTCCAACGTGGCCGCGCATGCGCAGTACATTCACGCGTGCGTCATGACGTATGACGGTGCGCGTGACGGGCGCATGCGTGGTCACGAAAGAACCGGCAGACCGGCGGATTTAAAAGAGAGAAGAAAGAGGGAAGATCAAGAAGCTCCTGACGAAGTCTCAAGGACGAAACGCGTTGAGCAGCATTGGGGACCCTTCTACTTTGGTATCAGCAGTTTCTGTTTCACATGATTTTTGTCTATGTGACTAGTTGTGGACATTGTTTATGTTTACCAGCTTGAAGTGATGGGAGTTGCACTCTGCCACTTTATATTACTGTCTGCACTTTAGCATTTAGCACTTTTTCATGTTATATAAGAGCTGATATACCTATGGGTCTTTCAGCCTATTGAGGCTTTTTATGTGAATATATTTTTTACTATTTGCACATTGTTGGTGCACATTATTAAATAAACAATATTATCTTCATCTTTTTCGTTTATTTATCTGGTGATTGTGGCGCCCTGTATATATTTTTTGTTTCTATTGTATGTTTTAAGGTTTGAGTGACCTTTTACAGTGGCTTGCCTGCATACAGATACCACTACACTTCACCCAACCCTGTATTTGTCCCTATAATCCACATGATTATATAATATTATTGGATAAATTTTCCCAATGATTAAATATTTTTGGATACACTTTTATAATTATTTGATATTATATATCAGTATCTAAAAAAAAAAAATTATGTTATATGTTTTTATGAAATTTATGCTTTAAAGGGGAACTGTCACCTTTCAAGATTTTTAATATTATGTATATATATTATAACACACATGTATTTCTGAGGTGTGAAAATAACATGAAATGCAAAAATGCACACATATTTTATCCTGTAACTGGACGCCTGCATCTTGGCTCAGTGTCAATTACTCATATTATGTTAAAGTGAAACATGGGCATTCTCTATGTGTAGCAATAGAGGCAAAACGGTAGAAGTTCCCACAGAAAGGAGCTGCGCCACTGAAGTAGCAACATAAAAATTGCTAATCTTAGGGATACCAAAGCCACTTCGTTTTGTCGGTAGTCAGCAAGTCTGTCTAGATATTCTGGGTGGACAATTTTCTAGACGTACAGAGATAAGACAGTTTTAAGTCATCTAACACTCTGTCAGAAACTAAAATACGTGCGATATTAGGATGAAAATGTAGTTGTTTTCTATGTATTTGACGCATACAGAGAATTGTTACTTCTCAATATTCTATGTATACAAAACAGTGATATCTGTACCATGACTTTATGCGAATAAAAAAGAAAAGAAAAAAGAAAATGTAGGCCTAACCGTCATATTAATGTCTTCTTGTCCACCATTTTGGCGGCTCAATGCTCTTGCATTGGGAAGGCCTGCTGACTACTTCGGGGCGTTTGACTTTAGAGGCTCGTGCTTCTTGCTACTCCTCCTCCTGGGATGGTTTTGGTCATCCTCTGTTTCCCAGATACAGATTTGTCTCTTTGTCAGCTTTTGGCTAAGCTGGCTCTTCTTCTTTGTCTCATGTTTTTCTGTCGTGTTTCAGACATTCAAGCTTTGACGTGGAGTCCTTCTCCCCAACAGTGTCTCTTTTTTGTTGACACTTGGAATGAAGTCTATTTGTCATCTGTCTGATGCCCTTGCTTCCCTGATATACCATGCCTCTGTGTGGCTCGCTGTCTCTGGAGTTATAAATCTGTGACCTCAGCTCATGAACCCTGTTCTTGTGGTCTATTGCCAATCTCCTACGTGTGCCCATTTCGGGTGGTCTCTGCTCCTGCAATCACTTGTTGGGCTCGGTGGCTCCTTGCCTCCTCTAGTATGTATAGTTATTTCACGTTCGGGGCTCTGGATTCCTGTGGCCAAGTTTCAGATATCATTCTTGAGGCAGATTGATATAGGAATTTGACTGTGACAGTAGTCACCATCATCAGAAGCATAAGATCGACAATTCAATTAGGTCTCTGGATGATTCCTATGATAGTCAATCTGTGTCCATTGTGGGTGCAGGCTGTGTGTGTAATGTGGTTGTTTGGGGTTAAATGTTAATGCTGTCCTGTCTTGCTAATGTTTGCAACCGCTATATACACTACCTAGCAGGGTTTTTAATTTGCATAGTTAGGTGGTTTTGCATATTGCCAATTCTGCAGGCAGGAGAGATATTGTGTGTTAATTATGTCTTCCCCACCCCTTTAAAATATGTTGTTATGTTATTAAAGGTTCCTGTGTGTTTTCTGATATGATTTGGTTAATTGTATTTTACTTTGTTTGTCACAGCAAGGTTGATGTAATGAATATGTGGGCTAGTCCCAAGTAATTGTATGTTAGTTCTTTTTGGAGCCGTGTCCTGTGTGGAATTTTAGAGATCCCAACCACAGAGTTATCGTTACCTTCTAGCCCTGGGATAAATCAAGAGCCGCAAGTGCCTTTGTAGAGGCAATAGAAATCGCATTGCAGGCAGCGCTGAATACCTCCCTGCAAGAAGGCCTGCAGGGGAATAGGCAAAGGGAACGATACCTGCCTGCAAGAAGGGCTGCAGGGGAATAGGCAAAGGGAACGATACCTGCCTGCAAGAAGGGCTGCAGCGAAATAGGCAAAGGAAATGATACCTCCCTGCAAGAAGGCCTGCAGGGGAATAGGCAAAGGGAACGATATCTGCCTGCAAGAAGGGCTGCAGGGGAATAGGCAAAGGGAACGATATCTGCCTGCAAGAAGGGCTGCAGCGGAATAGGCAAAGGAAACGATATCTGCCTGCAAGAAGGCCTGCAGGGGAATAGGCAAAGGGAACGATATCTGCCTGCAAGAAGGGCTGCAGGGGAATAGGCAAAGGGAACGATATCTGCCTGCAAGAAGGGCTGCAGGGGAATAGGCAAAGGAAACGATACCTGCCTGCAAGAAGGCCTGCAGGGGAATAGGCAAAGGGAACGATATCTGCCTGCAAGAAGGCCTGCAGGGGAATAGGCAAAGGGAACGATATCTGCCTGCAAGAAGGGCTGCAGCAGAATAGGCAAAGGAAACGATACCTGCCTGCAAGAAGGCCTGCAGGGGAATAGGCAAAGGGAACGATATCTGCCTGCAAGAAGGGCTGCAGCGGAATAGGCAAAGTAAACGATACCTGCCTGCAAGAAGGGCTACAGCGGAATAGGCAGAGGGGACGATACCTGCCTCAAAGGAGAGTTGCAGCCTGGTCATGTGGAAAAGCGTCAGAAGCTGTGGTGATTGGGGCAGAAGTGCTTCAGGTGTCCCAGTTCCAACTATGTAGTGAGTTTGGCGGAGGTACAGGGAGCTTTGTCACAATCTGAATACACCAGGTGCATCCATCAAACAGAGACGGAATTGAGGCAGGCATTTAAAGTATCGGTTACATAATATAAACGTGTCAAACTGATAAACTTTTTGTTCTCTTTTTATGTCAGTTTCGCCACACCACAACCAACTTACACAACCACTACTATAACACGGCTTATTGTCCCTGACCACAAATATATTTTTTGATAAAAAAGTTAGGGAAACCCAAATTTAAGCAGCTCTCCTTAAACGTATTGCCAGAGAAAGTAATTGAACGTCTTTGTGAAGAAAATGCTAATAAAAGGTTGGCCGTTTGTTTGGAATCAGCATATTCTACAAAGTTTAAAAATACACTTTATATTATCAGAGGCCTGTCTAGAAAGGAGTAAAGTCAGATTAAATCCAGTATTATTTTGTTAAGCCTAGTAGCTATTACTTTGACGTACAGTTTTATATCCGAATTTATGAGATTGGCTGGAAATTTGAACTTTTGCTTAGGGCTTGATGAGTTTTGATAAAATCACAATAGTTGCATTTGGCAAGAATGACTTCTTCTATAGGTTTGCCGGAAAAACAAATACAAAATATGAGAGGTTAAACGCCAAAAGGAGTAATTGGTTTTTACTTTTGCGTTATAAACAACTAAATTCCTAAACAGAGGCAAACAAACAAAAGACAAAACAATGTTGATATAATTTCACCAGACTGAGACATATACACTGTGTTTTTATTAAATATCCTATACTACATTCACTATCACCAAAATAAACTGGATAGCTTGGTTTGTTTTTTTGGACTGCCTGGCACTGGAATAGTTAATGATTACCACAATGTCATTGTGACAGTTATGAATGCCATTGGACATGACGTGGTTAACATGATTATTTGTCACCTCCCTTCTACCTAGCTGTGACTGGCTGCAGATCGCACTGAACTGATTGGATGATGACATGAGTCGCAATTGAAATGAAGGGAGGTCAGAGGTATCCAACACATTCCTAGCGTCACTGACTTTAAATACTGAGCTCCTTTGTACTGTGATCAGATCAACTCTTAACTCTGAGCAGAGTTCTTGCTTCAACAGTGTTTGAACGGAGCCCTCTCTGAATCTTCAGCTCTTATTTTTTTCCACTTACTATTCTTTTTTTCAATCCATCCTAAAGAACCACAATGGCATCCCAGCTGCGTCAGAACTACCACAGCGACTGCGAAGCTGCCATCAACCGCATGGTCAACTTGGAGCTGTATGCATCCTACGTGTACCTCTCTATGGTGAGTATAGCTTTACTCAATAATTTTATTGCAACAGGTAATTCGATAAGGTCATACAACTGCTACTATTTTAACAATATAATGTTTGTTCACTAAACAGTTGATTGTGGTGAATTATTACATACCAAATTTCAAAAAAGTAGGCTAAAATACTTGCCGGAAAATTAAGCGTAGTTGGAAATTTTTCCAGATTAAATTTTCAAATTTTCAATATCATGCTAGTACTAGATTGGTTTTCAATTCATCACAATTTACGGTTTAATTAGTAATGCCCACTCTATGACAGGTTCTATAAACTTACTACATTGTAATAGGAGAAGAGTGTTGCAAACTTTTAGTTTACAAGTTAATTGGATGAACTAATCTCAAATCTTCATTTGAATTATTAACGGTTAAATGTGAATTGTTTTAGTATAAATGATTTGAATCCTCACTATCACATTCTGAACCTCCAGGAAGATTTTTTTTTCACAGAACAGGGAAAAAACAAATAAAAAAAACTTCCATATTTGGGGTTACAAGATTGACAGTTTTAATGAAAGTTCACATATTAGGTCCAAAATAGGCAAACTGAAAATTAATTTTGAATTACAATAATGGCTTACAATTGGAAATGCACTTTTAATTCCTGACAATTTACACTGTATATGCCCTATGAGCTGGCAATCCTACCCCACCCATGGGGTTATCAGCATGTTCCAGAAGCTTTGCTCCCCAGTTATCTTATCATTTTTGTTCAGGGTGAGACTTAAACATGTATCATAATGCTTGTGAGGCCTCCTCAAGGTGTAACTGAAAAAACTGTTTTACCATGTGCTTTTAGTTCATCCTGCAAAGGATCCCACTTGAATTAAAGACGTCTAAAAACATAAATTCGCTAAGGCTAGATTTTAGCCAATGCATTACGAAAGGATTATATGACTCAATTCTGATCTAGCAAGAGAATTCAATCATATAAATGTATAGGTTAACAATTAAAGCGCCTCCCTCCCCCTGATTAGATGCTCTGTGAAATACTCACATTTACTCTGTTGGAACTTCACTGAAATTCAAACCTAGTCAAGAGATATACAACAGTACCAGTCAACAGATCTGGTACTGTTGTGAGATATGTTTCGATAACGGTTAGGGAGCCTTAATGAAGGTCCAGGCTAGCTATCACACAAACCGAGCAAATGTATGGTCACAGCCCAGAAGCTGGCTGGAGAAATCAGGGATATCCCCAGAAATCCAAGATATCCTGCACCTCTGGACAGACGAAGATGGCACCAGAAACACATGTGCAGGGTCATTGTTAGTTGCAATTATTTTGTGTAGTGTGGTCAAACGTTTAGTATTGCAATATGTGTCATGTCTTCTACTCTAGCTTGTACACTGTAATTTAGAATACAAACAATGTATCTTATTTACGCAAACTGATTTACTGCTTCGTCATACCTTCAGTGTGGAATGACCTTTGGATATTGGTTGGCTTCCCTGTATTGTTCTCTTACCACAAATATCAATGGCTTAAAGAAAAGCTGTTCCAGCTGAATCTCCTATATTTGATCTTTTCCAGTCCTATTACTTTGACCGTGATGATGTGGCTTTGGAGCACGTGGCCAAGTTCTTCAAGGAGCAGAGCCACGAGGAACGGGAGCATGCAGAAAAATTCATAAAGTATCAGAACAAGCGTGGGGGTCGTATTGTCCTTCAGGATTTGAAGGTGAGAATGGAGTGCTAGGTAAATGTACTTGACAAAGATAATTCCACTTATCATAAATCTAGTAAAAATCACAACATTACCTGTTCTGGTGATCTAGTGAAAGAGTCTAACTAGCCCAAACAATTATAGAGTTTCCTAGTGCTTGTTAATGACCAAACGTCTTATTTCAAAGGAGTAAATATAACTCTGATGAAGATGAGCATTTTGTTTAGCCATGCATATTTGAGTAGCCCGAAGCAGGAGCTGTTCCAGACAAGAACAATATAACATCCTCATGCAAAAAAAAACCCAACAACAAATTTTTGGCAAGGATGCTGGAAATTGCATGACAACAAGAGATCACATAGAGTGTAAGATGCTATATCTGACAAAATTTTACCCTGGCTTTTTGTGAGAAAGACAGTCTTTTGGGGTTCCAGGCTCACATAGATCCAGTTTTATTTGATGTCCGGTGTTAGCATGTAAAGTATCTGGATGATGGACACTGTAAGGGTTTTTCACTAAAATGAGAATTATTGGAAATTCAAGGTGAATTCAAAGTACATTTCACGATTAATCCAAGAATTGACAAAATAGGAAAAAAAACCTCAAAATCAATTCTGTTTTCAGTTTTTCTATTTTGATCGCAATTATAAATTCACTTTGAACTCCCTGCAATTCTCACTTTAGTGAATAGCCCTATGTGCGCCAAATTCTATTCTTTTAAAGGAGAAATATCTGACTGGATAAAAGTCATCAGGGTTGATGACTTCACTGGAGGAGGATTCAAATACAGGTAAATTTCAATCAAGTGAAGGAAAACACAAACCATGTGTGGAAACTATTTTTGATACTCACTCAATTCATTATTTTCCCCCTATGAGTGCTGTAGAACAGGGCTAGAACTTGGCAAGTGAAAATGTAGCCATGGCACGTATACATTTACTCCTGGTGAGTGTGACATGGATACTCCAGGCTTGCAATGAGGAGTCATTTTTAAGGGCTGTGTAGTAAGTGTAGAATTTGAAATTTTAAGCCCTTGTAGAGCATAAATACCATCACGACAACAGTGCTAGTCTAAAACTTCTGAAGTGTGCTTGAATTACCAAGATTAGTTTTATGTTTATAGGTATTGGGATGAAGTCAAAGTACACCAGTGCTCGTACTCATTTAACCCTCTTTCACTACAGAAACCAGAGCGTGATGAATGGACCAACAGCCTGGAAGCCATGCAGGCTGCTCTGCAACTGGAGAAGACCGTTAATCAAGCTCTTCTGGACCTGCACAAGCTGGCGTCTGACAAGAATGACCCTCATGTAAGTTTCAATCATTTCCTGATCGTTAACAATCTTTTACATTTTCAAAGAGTACAGTAAATAGTGGGATGTGATGAAACAAACATGAATATATTATCACTTCAGACCACTTGGCTTCCAGCATACTTAGTTCAGGATATTTATTTGAAGATATTGCAATGATCTATTTATTTTGCATCTTTCATATCTGTTTCCTTACCGTGATCTCAAATACAACAAACATAAGTCATAAGTTACATTAACATGTTTATCTTAGTGTCAGTTTCACAACTTTGCATTATATCTGCCTGTAAATTTACCAACATACTATTCCATGTTACAGCTGTGTGACTTATTGGAGTCAGAATACCTGGAAGAACAAGTCAAGGCTATGAAACAACTTGGTGACTACATCACAAACCTAAAACGTCTTGGGGTGCCCCAGAATGGCATGGGCGAGTATCTGTTTGACAAGCACACCATGGGAGAGAGCAGTTGAATAGACCTTCAAGGATGACCGAGCCAGTCAACTATGCATCTATCGTTTACCTGTATAGTGTTACAATCTAATGCTCTGAACTCTAAAACAGGGTTGGGAAACCTTCAGAACTCCAGATGTTGAGGACTACATCGTTCATAATGCCCTTACAGCCATAATGCTGTCAAAGCATCAGGGGAGATGTAGTCCACAACATCTGGAGTGCTAAAGGTTTCCTACCCCTGTCCTAGAGAGTCGTCCTGTTGGGAGTATGTACAGTGCAGATTTTTTTCCTGCTGTTTTGAATCCTGAAATTGCTGCTCTGCTTGTCAACATGTGTTCAATAAAGGTTTTGTATCATTCCAGACTGTATTGATAATGTGTATACAATTCATAAAGGCTGCCATGAACCAAAGTAACTGGTTAAACAAAGCTATACACGTGACAAATTGTAGAGCCCTGATCAATACTCATATTTAGCAAGACCAATAACAAACCTTTAAAGATGTCTGCACTGTTACATAATTGCATTAATAGTCAAGGTCGAAAAAAGACTAAAGTCCATCAAATTCAACCCTTAAGCCCAGTCTTTTATGTCCACAAGAAAGCAAACAAACAATTGTAGCCATTTCCAATTATGCCACAAAAAGGAGAAAAAAAATCCTTCTTGACTCCATAATGGCAATCAGATATCTCCCCCGTGCATCAATTATACCCTAAAGCAGGAATAGGCAACCTTCAGTACTCCAGATGTTGTGGACTACATCTCCCTTAATACTCTTTCAATCATACTGCGGGCAAAGCATCGTGGGAGGTGTAGTCCACAGCATCTGGAGTGCCGTAGGTTGCCTACCCCCTGCTTTATGTGAACGGTTTGTTGAGCCAAGAAGAACAGGAATTTCACTAACCCTAAAAATGTATTGTATTTCTGTAAATTCTAATGCACACATGATGGTCCAACACAAGTTTTTTATACCACTCCATGAGAGGTAACTCAACAGGGACTCACTGGAAATGACCTGAGAATTAAAAAAATAATTAAAATAAAATAAAAATCTGAGTAGGGCAATGTTCCCTGAATTGGCTATTATGGCCTATAATCCCATCTCACTTCCCTACAAGATATTCCCATTTTGAATTGGACATTTGCATGCTTATTTACTAAAGTGAAAATTCAAGTGAATTCAAAGTGACTTTCAAACATAAGGTCAAAATACATCAATCCATGATAGATTTATGTGGACTTCAAAACAATATAAATCCAAAAGATTCACCTCCAACCACTGAACTGTCTATTAAGATTAACCATCTCTTAATCATGTGTCTGTTTTATAGGCATTATCCCTGACCTTTGTTTGTGTAAAGCCAAAGGTTTCATCAGTGATTGTTTCCTTTCATACAGTTAAAGGGACACTGTAGTCACCAGAACAACTACAGCTTATTGAATTTGTTCTGGTGAGTAGAATCATTACCTTCAGGCTTTTTGCTGTAAAAAGTATTTTCAGAGAAAATGTAGTGTTTACATTGCAGCCTAGTGATAACTTCACGGGCCACTCCTCGGATAGCTGTTAGAGATCCTTCCTGGGTCATGGCTGCCTAAAATGCATCCAAACATTCAGTATCTCCTCCCTGAATCAATGAATCTCTATGAGAAAAGTTCATGCAGACACTGAACTTTTCTGATAGAGATTCATTGATTCAATTCATCTCTATGAGGAGATGCTGATTGGCCACGGCTGTGTTTGAATCATGCTGGCTCTGTCCCTGATCTGCCTCTTTGTCAGTCTCAGCCAATCCTATGGGGAAGCACTGTGATTGGACCAGGACTTCTGATGATGTCAGCAGACTGCTTGTTTTTCTGAGGCAAACAGCATGCAGATTTACAGCTTAAGGCTTGAATACAGTAAGATTTTGCTATATTTATGGAGGCATGAGTGGCCGGGGGGGGGGCTAGATGGTGGTTTTAACACTATAGGGTCAGGAATAAGCCCATTCAGTATGCTACGGTTTGGGAAATGGTTTGTGAACAGGTAGAGATAGGTATCAGCTGGCTCCTATGGAGAGGAGGAACAGAGGGCCAGCGTTGTAATATAGTCATTCAGGTGGTCTTAGTGGTATCTGCTACAGTTATGCATACAAAGATGTATTCCTAACACTAAAGGGTCCCTCTGCCACCCTCCATCATGCTCCCCCTCCCAGTGGAAAGTAAATGGTTAGAAAGAAAAAAAGTTAAACACTTAACTGATACCTGGGTCAGGCTTCTCCTACCTACACCAACGTCAGCCAATGGGGGAACCTAATGCATAGGCACGGCAAGTGGCATGCATGCATTAGGTCGTACCCATAGGAAAGCATTGGTTCAATGACAGTAGACGTCCTAATGCAAAGCTCTGAGTCAATGACGCTGGACATCTTAATGTAAAGCGTGAGGACGTCCAGTGTCATTTCACATAGTCAAACTCTGTGAAAGGCCAGGAAGCTTCTCTAGTGGGAGACAGCGACTGGAGGCTGTCTTAACCCTGCAATGTAAGCATTACAGTTTTTCTAAAACTCCAATGTTTGTGCAGGGGAACTGCACCCAGACCACTTCAATGAGACATAGTGGTCTGAATGCCTATTGTGTCCCTTTAAAGGAACTATAACATTAGAAATATAAATCTGTATTCCTAAAGCTATAATGTTCCTCTCCCTAATTGTATTAATGCCCTCCCATTGGGTGCATTAAAAAAGTAAAAATTAAAGATTTACTTACATTTTCCAGCACCAAGGCTTCCTCGTGCGGTTTACCTCTCCACCTCCAGCAATAAAACAGAGGAGGCTTGGCACCCTCCAGCTTGGTCCTATTCAATGCTCCTCAGGGCACTGGTGAGCACTGCGCACACATTCAGACTTCTCCATAGGTAAGCATTGGATCAATGCTTTCCTTTAGGGTTTCCATGTCACGTTACCAAAGTTTTTTCAGTCAGTGCAGCAGAGTGCATGTAGGGACTGTCATACTGACAGCCACTAGAGGTGGACCTAACCCTACAATGTAAGCATTGCAGTTTCTCAAAAACTGCACTGTTTTATATTACAGGTTTAAAAGGACAGGGACACTGCATAAAGACAACTTCATTGAAATGAAGTGGTCTGGGTGACTATAGTGTCCATTTCAGAGTGTGATTACCAAGAATGCCCACATGCTTTGGCATCAGTCTATGCAATTCAATTCCTTAGCTTACTGTGTCTTTAGTAGGTGTTGGTTGTGACAGAAGCTCCCATTTCATGGCCTTTGGACAGGTTTAAAGGTCACGTGGAAGAGTTCCAGAGAGACCCCAGTCAAGTTTCGGCGTATGTGGCTGAAGTGTTCCAGGTTCTCTGCCCAACGGTTAGGAAGCGGATTGGGTGGAGGTACTCAGTCAGAATACAGGAACTCAATCACACTGGTCCTCTCCAGTAAAAGCTGAATCCTTGTTACTATGCTATGATGCTTTGACGTAAACAGAGATATTTCCACTCGCTTCGAAATATCGGGGGAACTAGATTGTAAGGTATCCATATCGAGGGATGCTCAATCGGGGCGGATCCAGAACCAAATAATACACTGACATATACACACAGATACAAACATATACCTTCCAGCACATACATTTCAACACACACAGATACAAACCTATACATACACAGGCACACACAGATAAACACACACATACCTACACATAGATACACATACCTAGACATAGAAACACACACTGGCACACAGATACACACACATATCTACACATGCACACTGGCGCACACACACACATCCCTACACTTACAGACACGCACATACACACATCTTCATATACACACACACAAATACAAGGTAATAGAATATACAGGCAAATCTTCAGTTACTAAAGGTGTATTTATTGGAGGGTAGAACACCCCATAAAAATGCAAAAGAGCGACGTTTTGGCCCTAGAGGGACTTAATCATGCTTAAGTCCCTCTAGGGCCGAAACGTTGCACTTTTGCACTTTTATGGGGTGTTCTACCCTCCAATAAATACACCTTCTGTACCTGGAATGTTGCCTGTATATTCTATTACCTTGTATTGTTGGACAGATTAGCAGTGCCTGTCTAATGCAGAGTACCTCTGAGGCTGTGGGCCAGAGTGAAAAGCAGAACCTGAGTACAGTGGACTACGTTGTATGTGGTACACACAGATACACACACATACATACTCACAGATACACACTGACACTCACAGTTACCTACACATACACATATACACACACAGATACACACTGACACTCACAGATGCACAAACATACTCACAGATACACACTGACACTGATCCGCCTCTGTGCTCAATGGATTGAGAGGGCAACAAGGTGCTATAATCATATTGAAGCCCATTGCAACTTCCTCTACAGATAGTACCTCACTCCAAACTGACTACATAAGATTTACACTACTGATATCCAGATATCCATTATGCCGGTGTTGTCGCACAGAACACGGCACTCTATACAACATTTGATGGGATATATATATCATTGCAATCCCATCAAATGTTGTATAGATCTATTTATGCATTTTAATGTTTGACAAAAGCAAAAATAAAAAAAAAACCCAAGTAAGAACTAACTTGCCTATTTATATAACTAGTATAATACAATTCTGCAGTTTTGTCACAACCATTTGCAGAATGCATATCTCAGCAAGTTCTGATGTACATCCTCCTTCCCATAAATGGATTGCAACATTCATACAACTTATCACATCACGTGCATGCCTCTTCACTGTCATAGATCTAGCATACTTTTGCATGCCTTGCCCAATACCTTTAAATATATGTGGGCCAAATGTAATTCTCTATAGCTGGAGTAATCCTCTTCACCTTTAATAATGTTGCAGGTTTCTGAAAGTGAGTATATCTGTATAGAGCATACACGTCATCAGTGTCCCGTAAAGCAGAAACTAAATGGCAGGGGTAAAAAGAGGCAGATCATTGACACGAACCATGTCATGTCAAGGGAGTGGACCCTCAAAGAAAGGGAAAGTGTGCTGTCCAAATACTAGGCAAGTCTGCCAATCACCCAGGCCAGCCCAATGAGGGCAGCCATGAAGGGAACACTATTTCAGCTTGAACAACTAGTGCTCTGAGAGTTGTGCAAGCTTGTTTAATGATGCACTCGAGCTACGCTTTTTGGGGGCAGTTCCCTGGTGTTCCTAAAAGAAGGAGAATGTGACTGATTAAAGCTTGTTGGGCAGTCTGCAGCCACTATGAATGGTCCAGGCTAAAGGGGGGAGCCCCAGGTCCCTTGGTACACGATTCTCTGAGCATGTGCAGGAATTTAACCCTGCTCACAGAGCCTCACACCACAACCTCTTTGTAGACATTTAAATGCCTACTTTAAGAGCTGCATACAGTGCTAAAATCCAGCGCTGTAGGCAGCTCATGAGTCAGTCTGGGGACACTAAAAATGTCCCCAACTCAGAGAGGGGAGCCCCCAGTTATCTATTGCTCCCTGGTGTACATAGGAATTTTACCCTGTTCACAACAAAACTGCAGGGAGTTTCATGAGGTCCTAAAGACATTAAAGCCCATTCTTTGCAGGATGTCAAGGAACGTCCTAATGTCAGGAAGGGGTTAAAAAAAAACATTATTGTGAGTATTATTTATGTGGGGCTTGTTTATACACTCAGACACAACAATATGGAGCTCCTAGAATAGAGGGGCATTAGCATAGAAAAGAGGGACAGAGGGATATGGGCAAAAAATAAGGACTGTCCCTTCTAAATAGGGATGCTTGGGAGGTATGAAATGGGTGAGGGAAAAGCTGCATGAAGAGAGGTTATATGTAACAGAGTTATATAATGTATTCTTATTTAAACAGGTCAAGCACGTTGCGGTTTCAGCCTGAAGCACACCTTTTCTAGTTAAATCTAGATGATTCTTTACACAGGTCTCCTCCTATCACTGCCTCAGAGAATAACACACTGATGTAGCTCCCTCACCCACTTCCCTCATTGTGTTATTTAACAAAATGCCTAATCATGCTAGTCCCACAGAGAGTGGGTGGTGTCTCCACTGACGTGTATTCAGTATTTTGTTGAGTCATATTTATCCTGTCTAAGTCAGTCGGGAGAGGAATTTACCATAAATAGTGATTTAAAAACATGGATGTGGTTTATTCACTAAACAGAGTATTGTAGAGAATTTATATAAGAAACTAAAATTTAATGCCAAAATTACTGAAATTGAAAAAAAACCATCCAACTCACTATTTTGGCCTAACATTTGTAATTATGTTGTGAATCATTCACAATTCTCATTTTAGTGAATACACCCTTGTATTGCAAAGGTACATAGGTCACTCCAGCAATTCTAACCAGTAGCAGGGCGTTGTTCCTATAGGCGTTGTGGCAGGCTTAGGAAATGTTTGATCATATACTGTAACTAAACCCCCATTATTTTTTGCCTAGGTGAGGTGTTTTTAAATAAAACTATTACATTTTGAGAGACTTGAAATTGCTGTTTAGTTAATGAGTGAGTGCGCTGGATCTTGTGTATTGTGTGTGTATATATCTATATATCTCAGGCATAGAGGCGTATAAATCTCCTTTTTAGTGCAAAGTGAGGTCCGGTCACCTAAACAGCCACTTCAGGACTATAGTGTCAGGAATAGATGTTCGTATTCCAGACACTAAAGTGTTCCTTTAATTAGGTATCCTTAAATATGGCAATCGCACATATATGCAGAGAAAAGTAATTGGGGTGCTCTCTACTACTATCTTTATTTATTTTATTTATTTAGTTATTTATTTTAGTTGTATAGCTAAAGGGCCTTCCATCCTTTTAGACATACCATTCAGTTCTCATGTAGAAAAAAAAGTAGCTGACCCCCTCCTGGTATACTAGTTAATAAATCCACATACTTTTCACAGCTTTTTAAAACCATGGATACTCTGCTTGCTTTATATTGTAATGATTGTGTGTTACAAACCTAGCAAACAAAAGGTAAAGGTGCAGTCTGCAATGACAAAACTGCCACTGCAGAGGTTAATATTTTGATTACAGTATTAAATTACTTGATACATTATGTTGCAACTTTTGAATAAGCTGTGTTTGCATCACTGACTATATGGAAAGTACATTCTGTGCAATGCATAGATGATATCATTGCACAACATTCTAACCAAGTGTTCTTAGAATGAAATGTGACTCTTTATCATCCCTGTATTTACATAAGCGTGCAATCATTCACGTGTGTAGCTGCAGATTGTGTAATAACTCAGTTTATACATTATACAAGGTGGAGGAGAGAAGCCAGTAATGCATACTATTCAGGGTTAAATACACCCACCCCCCATTTTTCTCTGACTAGCAGCAGTTTGCAGTGAGCTGATTGGATGATGAACTGGGCTGTAATTTCAGGGAAGGAGTAATCCCCGCCCCTGGAGTCACTGACTATAAATACTGAGCCTCCTTTGTGTTATGATCAGATCATCCCTTAACTCTGAGTAGAGTTCTTGCTTCAACAGTGTTTGAACGGAGCCCTCTCTGAGTCCCCTGTCCTCTTTGCTTTTATATCTACAAAATAATACCTTGAGAATCTTTTAACGCCACCAATACATCGAAACTCCGCAATGGCATCCCAAGTGCGTCAAAACTACCACAGCGACTGCGAAGCTGCCCTCAACCGCATGGTCAACTTGGAGTTGTATGCATCCTATGTGTACCTCTCTATGGTGAGTATACAGCAGCTCTAATGTAATCTGTGAAAACAGGATAGTGGGGTAACCCTGTGACTGCCTGTTCTACTGTGTGTGTTAAAAGGGGGAGGGGGGGGGGAGTTTGGGTTAATCAGGGACAGGTTTGACAGCTATAGTGTTATTGGTGCAATACCAGTCTGGATTTATTAAAGATTCCTTAACTTCCTATTGGAAGACCCTTAGTAGGTCTAAATGGTTCAGGGCAGAGCAACTTGTACCCTCCCAGTGCTCTTGTAACAATACAGCTATTTTTGTAAACCTTAGAATCCTAAATTTTTAGATTCTGGTCACCCCATATTCTGTTTATACTGATCCTATTTGGATCGTTGTAGTGAAATACATTGTTTACGTACTGAGACTGTTTTGGTAATAAAATATAGAATCCACCCAGCACACTGTCTTCTGTACTCGCTTATACTGTGTATCAAAACAAGAATCAGTCTCCACCCACTGTGTGCTGTGCTCAGTATTTTTCCATTAGACTTTGCTCCTCCGATCTCCTGTATGTAATAACAGGATGGGGTGAGTATTGAATACACCAGGCCCCATCTAGATGATTCTGGCTTCTGCAGTTAAACAAACAAAACAATTCTTATTTCCCATACACCCTTGTTATATAAAACTTCATGCTTAACATATGACACTGTAAAATGAGGAAGTTGTAGTTTATTTTTATTGCTTCTTACAGGGTGTGTTTCTGTGTGACAGTCTGACGTACATGCCAATCACATGGGGGGGGGGGGATGTGCACATGTATGGGTCATTCAAATGGGAAGACTTGCCTTCCCTCAACTGCATAAATGTATGTATTGGTCATCTAATAACTGACAAAATGAGTGCTTATTTTATTTTTGTAGAGATTAAATGTTGTGTGTGTGTGTGTGTGTGTGGGTTTTTTGTTTCGGTTTTAACAAATGTAGTAATCCTAATCAAGATTACACGAATAGACACTCATTAAGAAAAATAACTTAAGAAAAAAAACAAACAGTCTGCATGGGATGGTAATAGTATGTGCTGCAAATGGAGATGTATCTGGGTGAGGAATATTAACAGAACCACTAGAAAACAAATGGAATTTAAATTGCCTAGAATGTTTGCATCTGACAATTTCCTCCCACGTGTTCCAATGGTACTGGGGTGAAACAGGCTAGATGATATCTACCTAACAATATTTTAACAATATGCAACCTGATTACTTTTCCAGTCCTACTACTTTGACCGTGATGATGTGGCTCTGGAGCATGTGGCCAAGTTCTTCAAGGAGCAGAGCCATGAGGAGCGGGAGCACGCAGAGAAATTCCTCAAATACCAAAACAAGCGTGGGGGTCGTATTGTCCTTCAGGATTTGAAGGTGAGGAAGAGGCGTTTAGTGGCCTGAACTGGATGGGTAATGGGATTTCCACTGGTATAGCATCAAACATGCAAAGGGTTTGTCTTGACCAGCTTCCCAGAAATCTGGGATCCAGGGGGTGAGTTAATGGGAGTGTAGGCATTCAAATCTGTTTGCTGCAGGAGTAGAGCTTCAAGGAAGAGAAGTATATGTTCGAACAGGGTTATCTCCAGAAGGGTATTGAACCTGAAAACACTGGTTCATGGATTGCAGGATAAAACTTGCCATGAAAGGTTAAAGGGTCTTAACATGTAGGGATCGACTGATTATTTAAAAAAAAAAAAAAAAAATGTATATATCCTATCTATCGGCTGATCGCTTGCCAATATTCTGTATATTTGCCATATTTTTCTCAGTGGTAAATGCACAAAATAGACATGCAAGTCAGGTGGTGTGTTGTGTGGGTTTGTTTTTTTTTTTTAATTTATTTTTTTTTTCTCCAAGAATATTTGTATGTAAATATATGCAGTAGAAACTCCTCTCCACCCCTTACCTGTCTTACTGCACCCTCCCTCTCCCTCACTTCTTTTAGTGGTCACCTCCACCACAGTGTTCCTTTTCCGTGCCCTCACCTAGTGGTTCATCACACCTCTCGTTCCCCTCTCTCCCCTCCTTGGTTCCCCACTCCCTGGAGTATGTGTCCTGGTAGCGTGGCTGAGCAGTGCGCACCATGGTACACGTGTGTCTCTCTTGTACCTGGCTGGACTGACAGTAAGTGCTCTCTCAGTCCGGCCGGGTACAGGAAACATAAGTTCCTGTACCGCAGTACGCACTGCTCCACTCGGCCATGCCGCACAGAGTGCCTAGCAGGAGGGAGCACTGTGCGCCCACCTCCTGCCAGTCACTCTATTCTAGCGCACCCCCCCGGCCGGTGTGCCCTAAGGCAGCTGCTTGTGCAGCTGCCCACTTATTCATTATCCATATTTCTGGTGATTTATCAACTGATAATTAAAAAAAAAAAAAATAAGAATATCAGCTGATAATTGCTTGATCCCTATTAACATGTATAGCTTGGAGAGACTGGGGATATGATAGGAACATTTTAAATGCATAAAGGGAATCAACATAGTAAAGGAGACCTATCTCTCACCAGTAATACTGATCATGAATAAGTGGGCCGGAGCATCCATAAGGCGGCACAAGCAGCTGCCTTGGGTAGTGTGTGTTCTCTATCCACAACAAGAGGACAGTCTTAAATTAGAGGGACAATAGTTTAAAAACTATTCCAGGAATTGCTTTACAGAGAGGGTAGTGTACACATGGAATTGCATTCTAGCTGAAGTGGTAGAGTTTAACCGTTTAAGCATGCATGGGGCAGGCATAAGGCTATCTCAGACTTAAGATAAGGCCAGGGACTAATGAAAGTATTTGGGCAGATTAGATGGGCTGACTGGTTCTTGTCTGCCGTCACTTTCTGACTACATCAGTGCTGTGATTTTAAGTTGACATTGACTTCCCAACTCTTTCGAAAACCAATGAAATCACAAGGACAATTGAAGAGAGTTCTTAAAATTGGTGTGGTGTTTGTGTGTGGGGTGTGGGTTTTTTTTTTTTTTTTTTAAACAGTCGGCTAAATCTAATTATATGAATCATTGCATTGGTTAACTTGCACCGTTGAGTCACTGACACACAGAGCAGGTAGTTACCTGTATCTTCAAAGATGCAGCGTAGACACATGCAATTAGTTTATGTCCAAAGTGCTTCAGATTTCTGAAAAGTGGCAAAACTGAGGGAGGTAAAATTAAGGGAATGATATCAGGAATCTAACCCTACCACTAACCCAGGTAGGGTTAGTGAATTGCCGAAAGGAATTGTATTTCCCATCCCTAATGCAGGGAGCTCAGACCTTGTCCGATCAAGGACAGTCTACCTGCACTGTCCAAACTGGTGACCAGGATATACACATTCCTGGTGAAAAAGAGGTTCTAGATTATCATGTAGTGCCTTACTCCTTCTCAAATGATTAGAGCATATATACATATAGAAAGAAGTTGGGAATTAAAATCCAGTTTATCAAGAAGTCTTCAGCACTTTACATCTAAAATACAAATTAACCAGCTATTTAACTTAGTTTTCTGCAATTTATATTCCCACCAGAAACCAGAGCGTGATGAATGGGGCAACACCCTGGAAGCCATGCAGGCTGCCTTGCAGCTGGAGAAGACTGTGAACCAGGCTCTTCTGGATCTGCACAAGCTGGCATCTGACAAGAATGACCCTCATGTAAGTGTTAAACCCCTCCTTCACTTTATTTTGGGGTGCGGGGTAGGGGAGATTGTCTTTATACATGTCCTATAACGAGCAAGCCTGAACTCCCAGTTGTATGGTGAACAGTTTGTACTGCTCCTCTCCAAACATGCTGACAATATTGCTTCATGTTGCAGCTGTGTGACTTCCTGGAGTCAGAATACCTGGATGAGCAAGTCAAATCTGAGAAACAACTTGGCGACTACATCACCAACCTGATACGTCTTGGGGTGCCACAGAACGGCATGGGCGAGTACCTGTTCGACAAGCACACCTTGGGAGAGAGCAGTTAAACAGATCTTGCAGGGTGACCAAGCCAGACAACTATACACTTTTCATCTCTTTACTACCTGCGTGGTTTAAATGTAACTCATCAGACTTTTGAGATTCCTCCTCTGGTGATGTGTGCAGTTTAAATCCTGCAGTAGGTTCTGTGCTTGTCAACATGTTGTCAATAAAGTTCTTTCAGCATTCCACTTTGTAGTGGCAATTTTTTTTTTTTTTTTAAAGTATCAATGGTTTATAGATGTTAAGAGTAACACTCAGTTGTCACTGCAAAACTTAAGTGTGGCATTTCTATCACAACACCTTCTTGAGTTTTATTTTTTTATTTATTTTTGAGCTGTAACTGATACTATGTCTGAGCACACTAGTAAAATATAGCTTTTGTAATATGAATACACTCAAGGATTAAACTATATAATAAAGATTAAGTTACAAAATAGGACTATTGTATAACCTAAGCATCCACCCTTATAATATCAAATATTTGACCCCCATCCCACAGCAAAGTTGGAAAGCTGGAGTCCAGACTAGTTCAAGCCAGGGTAAACATTGTAAATGAAGAACTTTTAACTTCTCGCTTTGTCTTGATGACTGTCAGGTGCAAATGATAAAGCTTGTAACAGTGGACATGGTGCTAAGATAGTCCAGTCGCAGGACTAAGTTGGGGATTTTTGCACTTTTATATTTCACACCACACATACAGGTTTAACTAGAAATATTAAACTTATTGGATGTGATATTTCCCCTTTTAATTTAGTGGTTTTGGTGCATAGACTTGGGAACCGTAACATTTAGATGTAGCTGTAGTAATCCAATGACTGGCTATTGAAACTGAGAGCAGAAGCGCCCATGGAATACGGAAAGGAATATTCCAGAAGCCCCAACCTATAAAGTGGCTAAATATAAAGCTTTAACAAGATATATTGTGGCCAACAGTACGAAGTGTAATTCATGATGGTCTTTAAATCTCAGCACAGGTCATGCAAAAGAATGATGGTCCAGGGACTCAAGTTCTGTCCAGTGGACAGATTTGTTGGCGCAGAATCAAAACAACATTTTGGCCCACTGTCACTGATACGTCAACTACAAAGGCCCTGTTGTGGGCCGGAACATTTGATTGTGCTCAAATCTGCCTGGAACATTACTTTTTGCAAATAACATTGTGAAGTTGGGCTAACCTCGGGCCCGGTTGCACCCTGCAATTCAGGACAGTGCGGTATCAAAATTGTAATTATTTCAGCACTGATCATGCCAATGCAGGAGGTACTGAGATTGAAAAATTGGATCCATAAACTGAAATGGCAAATGACAGATTGGTCTATTACTGAAAAGAGCAGAATAGTTGCCCACTTATAGGGTTACTCCAAGCATCATAACCATTACAGGCCACAGGTGTACCCTGGCACAGATCCCTAGGAATGGCTTGCCAGTTATCTGGGTCTTTGTCTGTCTCCAATGCGGTCTGGTAATGTGCTTACAGCTGCTGCATATGCCAGTAGGCCGTGGTGGTCAAACTTCGTTGGCTGAGAGAATCAGTCAACTTCATTGTATGTAATAACATTGAAATTGGGTCAATCAGTTGACTCCTCAAATCCTACTCTGAATTTTGGCTCACCCTGTATAATCTGTTGCATTATACTGCTCTCTAGTGGTCAATTCTAGTTACAAAGGGAATTTTTTAATATTGGGGAAAAGGCTACGCGTAACAATGTAGAGACCGGGAGTAGAACTTAACTGTCACTTAGTGGAGTCGCGAACATGAAATTTTCTGTTCGCAAATGTTTGCGAACCGCCATAGACTTCAATGGGCAGGCGAATTTTAAAACACACAGGGACTCTTTCTGGCCACAATAGTGATGGAAAAGTTGTTTTAAGGGGACTAACACCTGGACTGTGGCATGCCAGAGGGGGATCCATGGCAAAACTCCCATGGAAAATTACACAGTTGATGAAGAGTCTGGTCTTAATCCATAAAGGGCATAAATCACCTAACATTCCTAAATCACAATGGATATGGATTGACACCTTGACACCTGTCCTCAGAGACCCTGATACACACTGACACAGAGCAGAATAGGGACTGTACCCCTAGGGTCACTTGGCAGATATGGATTGCCACCTATCCTAAGGATCCCTGATACACAATGACACAGAGCAGAATAGGGACTATTCCCCCTACATAGGGTCACTTGGCAGATATGGATTGACACCTATCCTCAGGATCCCTGATACACAATGACACAGAGCAGAATAGGGACTGTTCCCCCTACATAGGGTGACTTGGCAGATATGGATTGACACCTATCCTCAGGATCCCTGATACACAATGACACAGAGCAGAATAGGGACTGTTCCCCCTACATAGGGTGACTTGGCAGATATGGATTGACACCTATCCTAAAGATCCCTGATAAACACTGACACAGAGCAGAATAGGGACTGTTCCCCCTACATAGGGTCACTTGGCAGATATGGATTGACACCTATCCTCAGGATCCCTGATACACAATGACACAGAGCAGAATAGGGACTGTTCCCCCTACATAGAGTCACTTGGCAGATATGGATTGACACCTATCCTAAGGATCCCTGATAAACACTGACACAGAGCAGAATAGGGACTGTTCCCCCTACATAGGGTCACTTGGCAGATATGGATTGACACCTATCCTCAGGATCCCTGATACACACTGACACAGAGCAGAATAGGGACTGTTCCCCCTACATAGGGTCACTTGGCAGATATGGATTGACACCTATCCTAAGGATCCCTGATACACACTGACACAGAGCAGAATAGGGACTGTTCCCCCTACATAGGGTCACTTGGCAGATATGGATTGACACCTATCCTAAGGATCCCTGATAAACACTGACACAGAGCAGAATAGGGACTGTTCCTCCTACATAGGGTCACTTGGCAGATATGGATTGACACCTGTCCTCAGAGCCCCTGATACACACTGACACAGCAGAATAGGGACTGTTCCCCTACATAGGGTCACTTGGCAGATATGGATTGACACCTGTCCTCAGGATCCCTGATACACACTGACACAGAGCAGAATAGGGACTGTTCCCCCTACACAGGGTCACTTGGCAGATATGGATTGACACCTGTCCTCAGAGACCCTGATACACACTGACACAGAGCAGAATAGAGACTGTTCCCCCTACATAGGGTCACTTGGCAGATATGGATTGACACCTGTCCTCAGGATCCATGATACACACTGACACAGAGCAGAATAGAGACTGTTCCCCCTACATAGGGTCACTTGGCAGATATGGATTGACACCTGTCCTCAGAGACCATGATACACACTGACACAGAGCAGAATAGAGACTGTTCCTCCTACATAGGGTCACTTGGCAGATATGGATTGACACCTGTCCTCAGAGCCCCAGATACACACTGACACAGAGCAGAATAGAGACTGTTCCTCCTACATAGGGTCACTTGGCAGATATGGATTGACACCTGTCCTCAGAGACCATGATACACACTGACACAGAGCAGAATAGAGACTGTTCCCCCTACATAGGGTCACTTGGCAGATATGGATTGACACCTGTCCTAAGGATCCCTGATACACACTAACACAGAGCAGAATAGGGACTGTTCCCCCTACATAGGGTCACTTGGCAGATATGGATTAACACCTATCCTCAGGATCCCTGATACACACTGACACAGAGCAGAATAGGGAATGTTCCCCCTTCATAGGGTCACTTGGCAGATATGGATTGACACCTATCCTAAGGATCCCTGATACACACTGACACAGAGCAGAATAGGGAATATTCACTAAATGCCAAACATTGTTATATAGGGTAATATTCTGTAAATAAGGATAAGGGGGGACCACCTGTCCTCCCCCCCGGCCCCCACCCCTGCACGGTGGGTGGGGGCCATAAATCTCAATGGGGGGGGACCTACTGTCCTCCCGCCCGCCCCCACCTGTGAGCGGTGGGTGGGGGCCATACAAATAATGAGGGGGGGACCTACTGTATGATGTTGTATCGATCAGGTAGTGTAAGGGTTACGCCCGCTTCACAGTGACAGACCAAACTCCCCGTTTAACGCACCGCAAAAAAACGCAAACAGTCCATTTGCACAACCGCAAACTCCCCATTTGCACAAGGTTGGATACCAAGCTAGCCATGTCCCGTTCCTTGTCCTCACTGATGTCATTGAAGGTCTCTTCCTCCACCCAGCCACGTACAACACCAAGGGTCCCAACCACAAAAGACCCACGAACTGGTAAGGAATGGATCCGCGACCCATTTGCCAACAAATCAGGCGAATATAGCATGTCTATGCAAAAAGAAGAACAACTGCTGGAGATTGCAAATGACGGTGGCCTTAAAACTATGTTCGAGACAACAACTCTGCCGGTGTTCTGGATTAAAGTCATGGCGGAATACCCTGAGACTGCCACCACAGCACTTAAATCCCTATTGCCATTTCCGACAACCTATCTGTGTGAAGCAGGGTTTTCTGCAGTGACAGCAACCAAAACAAAACAGCGGAATAAACTGGACATAAGCAACACACTTCGGGTGTCATTGTCTCCTATTACCCCCAGATGGAACCGTCTCGTTGCGAAGAAACAAGCTCAGGGTTCTCATTGATTTGGCATTCTAGTGAGTTAAATAAAATAAATCACTTTATATTCATTTTTTGGTGTAGCTGTATTTTATTTTGAAGGCATGTTTAAATACAATTAAATTAAAATTATTAAATCAAAACAAGCGGGCCACGGAAAAATTATCAAACGTTTACCGGTCCGCGGCGATAAAAAGGTTGGGGAGCACTGCCCTAAAACATTGTGGCTTGAACCCCAGTTGGTGGCAGATAAGTCACGCAAGTCAACCGGCATTCAGAGCTAAAATACAGCAACGTGTGGACCATTTTTAGCCCACGGCAGCTCATCTCATCAGGCCTTTTTTAGTCGAATGTATCGCCCACTGTCAGTCCCGTCGGGATCCATCCCTCATTCATCTTAATAAAGGTGAGGTAATCTAGACTTTTTTGACCTGACAGGACACTTGAAGCGAGGCAGGCCAGAAGTTCTATCGCAAATTGGGATAGCTCAGGCCACAGGTCAAGCCTGCACACCCAGTACTGAAGGGGTTCATCGCTCCTCAGAGTGTCGATATCTGCAGTTAAGGCGAGGTAGTCTGCTACCTGTCGGTTGAGTCATTCTCTAAGGGTGGATCCCGAAGGGCTGTGGCGATGCGTAGGTGTTAAAAAGCTCTGCATGTCCTCCATCAACAACACGTCTGTAAAGCGTCCTGTCCTTGCCGTCGTGGTCGTGGGAGGAGGAGGATTACTTTCACCTCTTCCCCTGTTAGATTCCCGTTGTGCTGTGACATCACCCTTATACGCTGTGTAAAGCATACTTTTTAATTTATTTTGCAAATGCTGCATCCTTTCCGACTTGTAATTTGGTAACATTTCAGCCACTTTCTGCTTATACATGGGATCTAGAAGCGTGGACACCCAGTACAGGTCGTTCTCCTTCAGCCTTTTTATACGAGGGTCCCTCAACAGGCACTACAGCATGAAAGACCCCATTTGCACATGGTTGGATGCCGAGTTACTCATTTCCCGTTCCGTCCTCCTCAGTGATCTCAATGAAGGTATGTTCATCCCCCCAGCCACGTACAACACCACGGGTACCAGATAGGTGACAACGAGCACCCTGGGATGCCTGTTGTGGTTGGTCTTCCACCTCCTCATCAAAGCCACATTCCTCCTCTGACTCCTCTTCCTCACAATCCTCTTCCAGCGTTGCCGCAGGTCCAGCAAGCGATGCTGATAAGGCTGGTTCTGGTGGTGATGGTGACCACAACTCTTCCTCTTCCTCTTCATGCTCATCTACGGCCTGATCCAGCACTCTTCGCAGGGCACGCTCCAGGAAGAAAACAAATGGTATGATGTCGCTGATGGTGCCTTCGGTGCGACTGACTAGGTTTGTCACCTCCTCAAAAGGACGCATGAGCCTACAGGCATTGCGCATGAGCGTCCAGTAACATGGCAAAAAAATTCCCAGCTCCCCAGAGGCTGTCCTAGCACCCCGGTCATACAAATATTCATTAACGGCTTTTTCTTGTTGGAGCAGGCGGTCGAACATTAGGAGTGTTGAATTCCAACGTGTCGGGCTGTCGCAAATCAAGCGCCTCACTGGCATGTTGTTTCGCCGCTGGATATCGGCAAAGTGAGCCATGGCCGTGTAGGAACGCCTGAAATGGCCACACACCTTCCTGGCCTGCTTCAGGACGTCCTGTAAGCCTGTGTACTTATGCACAAAGCGTTGTATGATCAGATTACACACATGTGCCATGCACGGCACGTGTCAACTTGACCATCTTCAATGCCGCCAACAAATTTGTTACGTTATTACAAACCACTTTGCCGATCTCCAGTTGCTGCGCAGTCAGCCACTTTTCCACCTGTGCGTTCAGGGCGAACAGGAGTGCTTGTCCGGTGTGACTCTCTGCTTTCAAGCAAGTCAAACCCAAGACGGCGTGACACTGCCGTATCCGGGATGTGGAATAGTACCTGGGGAGCTGGGGGGGTGCCGTTGATGTGGAGCAAGACGCAGCAGCAGAAGAGGACTCAGCCAAGGAGGTTATGGAAGAGGATGGAGTAGGAGGAGTAGAGGAGGTGGCAGCAGGACTGCCTGCAAGTCGTGGCGGTGTCACCAACTCCTCTGCAGAGCCATGCATTCCATGCTTGGCGGCAGTCAGCAGGTTTACCCAATGCGCAGTGTAGGTGATATACCTGCCCTGACCATGCTTTGCAGACCAGGTATCAGTGGTCAGATGGACCCTTACCCCAACACTGTGTGCCAGACATGCCATTATTTCCTTTTGCACAATCGAGTACAGGTTGGGGATTGCCTTTTGTGAAAATAAATTTCGTCCGGGTACCTTCCACTGCGGTGTTCCAATAGCTACAAATGTTTTGAATGCCTCAGACTCCACCAGCTTGTATGGTAAAAGCTGGCGGGCTAATAGTACAGACAAGCCAGCTGTCAGACGCCGGGCAAGGGGGTGACTTTCTGACATTGTCTTCTTACTCTCAAACATGTCCTTGACAGACACCTGACTGTGAGCAGATGAGCAGGAACTGCTCAAGGCGAGAGACGGAGTGGCGGATGGTTGAGAGGGGGCAAGGAGGACAGCAGTGGTTGACGTGGCTGAAGATGATGGACCAGGAGGAGGATGGCGGCTTTGAGTTTGTGTGCCGTTTGTACTCATGTGTTGATCCCATAGGCGTTTGTGATGTGCGATCATGTGCCTACGCAAAGCAGTTGTACCTAGGTGGGTGTTGGACTTCCCACGACTCAGTTTCTTTTAGCACAGGTTGCAAATGGCATCGCTGTTGTCAGAGGCAGACACACAAAAAAAATTCCACACTGCTGAGCTCTGCAATGACGGCATTCTGGTGGTGGACACAGCATGCGTTGATTAGCGTGCTGTCGGGCTGACCCCGGGTGCCGATGCATGCTGTCTGACTGTGCCACTAGCTCCTTGCGACGACCTCCCCCTGCTTCCAACTCGTCTCCTCCTCCTCCCTGTCTCCCCATCTGAACTTTCGCCCTGTTCTTCTTCTTGACGAGCGGGCACCCGCGTGACATCCATGGACGCATCGTCATCATCAACCGCTTCACTTGTATCTGACAACTCAGCAAAGGAAGCAGCAGCGGGTACAACATCATCATCATCATCATCATCACACCGTACATGTGTAATGCTGCCTGACTGAGACATATCCCTGTTATCTACATCCTCTGTCAATAATGGTTGCGCATCACTCATTTCTTCAAACGGATGTGTAAATAACTCCTCTGACATAGCAAGTGAAGCGGCTGTGGTGCTAGTGTTGGTGGTGGCGGCAGGCGGGTGAGTGGTATCTTGAGAGGTGCCCGAAGCTAAGCTGGAGGATGATGTTGCATCAAGGCTCCGAGTGGAAGCAGTAGAAAATTAGGTGTCCTGTGTTAGCCAGTCATCTATGTCCTCAGAACTTTTCAAGTTCAGGGTACCTGGCCTCTGAAAACTGGGCATTATTCTAGGGCAAAAGGGAATCACAGCACCATGACCACGACGGCCCCTGCGGGGTGGCTTGCCTCTGCCTGTCATTTTTTTTTCGATTAGTGGTACTATGCGTGCAAGCTACTGTGACACCAGATATGAGTGGCACTGTGAACTGGCAGAGGTTGGCAGAGTACACGCTGTAGACCTGACACACCTGCTTGAAGACAACTAACTGCTATTCAATCTATAACAGTGAAAAAAGTTTTTTGTTTTTAAATGCAAGCTATTGTGACACCAGATATGAGTGGCACTGTGAACTAGCAGAGTACACGCTGTAGGCCTGACACACCCGCTTGAAGACAACTAACTGCTATTCAATCTATAACAGTGAAAAAAGTTTTTTGTTTTTAAATGCAAGCTATTGTGACACCAGATATGAGTGGCATTGTGAACTGGCAAAGGTTGGCAGAGTACATGTTGTAGGCCTGACACACAGACGCTTGGAGACAACTAACTGCTATTCAATCTATAACAGTGAAAAAAGTTTTTGGGGTTTTTAAATGCACGCTATTGTGACAGCAGGTAAGAGTAGCACTTTGAACTGGCAAAGGTTGGCAGAGTACACGTTGTAGGCCTGACACACAGACGCTTGGAGACAACTAACTGCTATTCAATCTATAACAGTGAAAAAAGTTTTTGGGTTTTTAAATGCATGCTATTGTGACACCAGATATGAGTGGCAATGTGCACTGGCAAAGGTTGGCAGAGTACACGTTGTAGGCCTGACACACCAGCTTGAAGACAACTAACTGCTATTCAATCTATAACAGTGAAAAAAGTTTTTGGGTTTTTAAATGCACGCTATTGTGACACCACATATGAGCGGCACTTTGAACTGGCAAGGTTGGCAGAGTACCGCGTTGTAGGCCTGACACACCAGCTTGAAGACAACTAACTGCTATTCAATCTATAACAGTGAAAAAAGTTTTTTGGTTTTTAAATGCACGCTATTGTAACACCAGATATGAGTGGCACTGTGAACTGGCAGAGTACACGCTGTAGGCCTGACACACCCGCTTGAAGACAACTAACTGCTATTCAATCTATAACAGTGTAGCGGAGATGCAATATTCCCCAGGTTATCTCCGCTTATAATCCAAGTGAGTTTCTCTGAAACTGCTATGTTTATAAAAAAAAGGGTTAAACCTAGCTGGGCCTGGCACCCAGACCACTTCATTAAGCTGAAGTGGTCTGGGTGCCTATAGTGGTCCTTTAACAAAACACAGTCAGAAAACAATGGAACAAATGGGGGGCGGAGTCTGGCCACCATCATAGATGGCCACCTTCTAGAGGAGCTCCTGAGGCAAGGGGACACAGAAAGAGACACCTGAACAACTGGCAACAATGCAGAAACAAAAAAAAAAAATGGAAAAAAATGTGCCTGTACTGCAAAAGCGAGAGGCTGGAGCTGCAGGGGTGAGTAAAGGCCTGCAGGCCCATTCACCTGTCAACAAAACTGGCCCGCGGCTTATTTTTCCACAGAAATCCACATTGGTGGGAGTGGT